CTTAGACAGGGATGTGTAATGTCACCATGGTTGTTTAATATATTTATAGATGGGGTTGTAAAAGAAGTAAATGCTAGGGTGTTTGGGAGAGGGGTGGGATTAAATTATGGGGAATCAAATCAAAATGGGAATTGACACAGTTACTTTTTGCTGATGATACTGTGCTTATGGGAGATTCTAAAGAAAAATTGCAAAGGTTAGTGGATGAGTTTGAGAATGTGTGTAAAGGTAGAAAGTTGAAAGTGAACATAGAAAAGAGTAAGGTGATGAGGTATCAAAGATTTAGATAAAGAAAATTGGATATCAAATTGGGGAGGAGGAGTATGGAAGAAGTGATGTTTTTCAGATACTTGGGAGTTGACGTGTCGGCGGATGGTTTATGAAGGATGAGGTTAATCATAGAATGATGAGGGAAAAAAGGTGAGTGGTGCGTTGAGGTATATGTGGAGTCAAAAAAAGTTATCTATGGAGGCAAAGAAGGGAATGTATGAAAGTATAGTAGTACCAACACTCTTATATGGATGTGAAGCTTGGGTGGTAAATGCAGCAGCGAGGAGACGGTTGGAGACAGTGGAGATGTCCTGTCTAAGGGCAATGTGTGGTGTAAATAATATGCAGAAAATTCGGAGTGTGGAAATTAGGAGAAGGTGTGGAGTTAATAAAAGCATTAGTCAGAGGCAGAAAGGGGTTGTTGAGGTGGTTTGGTCATTTAGAGAGAATGGATCAAAGTAGAATGACATGGAAAGCATATAAATCTATAGGGGAAGGAAGGAGGGGTAGGGGTCGTCCTTGAAAGGGGTGGAAAGAGGGGGTAAAGGAGGTTTTGTGGGCGAGGGGCTTGGACTTCCAGCAAGCATGCATGAGCGTGTTAGATAGGAGTGAATGGAGACGAATGATACTTGGGACCTGACGATTTGTTGGAGTGTGAGCAGGGTAATATTTAGTGAAGGGATTCAGGGAAACCAGTTATTTTCATATAGTCGGACTTGAGTCCTGGAAATGGGAAGTACAATGCCTGCTGTTGTATTCTGACCACCTCTGCAAAAGCAGTGATAATGTGTGAATGTGGTGAAAGTGTTGAATGATGATGAAAGTATTTTCTTTTTGGGGATTTTCTTTCTTTTTTGGGTCACCCTGCCTCGGTGGGAGACGGCCGACTTGTTAAAAAAAAAAAAAAAAAAATATGTATATATATATATATATATATATGTGTGTGTGTGTGTGTGTGTGTGTGGACCCCCGAGTTTCAGCAGCCTCGACTTTAGTGAAATTTGACCTTCGGCGAGTTTTTTTGGAAAAATTTGGCCTCGAGTTTCGTGAAAAGACTTGTGTTTCGGCGACCGTTCGGTACCTGTCCGCCCGTCACTGCGCACACCAAGCCAGTCTCCCACGCCATTCATGCTCAGTGTGCCATTGTTTACCAACACGTGACCATCACCCCGTGGGTTCATACAATACATATCATAATCATTGTTTTTTTGTGCTTGCAACTGCTAAATAAGTCATCATGGACCCAAGGAAAGCTAGTGCAAGCCCTTTGGTAAATAAAGTGAGGAACACGATCCAGAGGGATTTTGACAGGGATGTGGAAGAGTTGGTGGAGGACCACAGGGAAGAGCTAACCACTGACGAACTGCAATAGCTTCAATTGGAACAGCATCAGACTGCAGCCGAGGAACTTGCTTCAGAGGAGGAGGAAGAGGGAGTGGATGAGGTGCCTTCTTCAAAGATTAAGGAGATTTGTGCAATGTGGAATGAGTTGCAAAGTTTTGTTGAAAAGTATCACCCTGACCAAGCTGAAACAAGCCATATCTGCAACATGTACAATGACTGTTGTGTCCCACTTCAGGGAAATCTTAAAGAAATGCCAGAAAAAGACCTCTCTGGACAGATATTTTGTGCGACAGGGGTCCAGTGACTCTCAAGTTGTTCCCAGTGGCATTAAAAGAAGAAGGGAAGTAACCCCAGATAAGGACTTGCTACCTAAAGTCCTAATGGAAGGAGATTCTCCTTCTAAACAATAGTGTACACCTTCCTCCTATCATCTCCTCCCATCTTCCATCCCCCCCAGAAGTCTTCAGTAAAGGTAAGTGTAATGTTATTATTATTTTTTTAAATGCATGTACTTGATTTCTGATTGTTTTCATTATGTAAATCTTTATTTAATTTGAAAAAAAAAATTTTATTTTAATATTTTTGGGTGTCTGGAACGGATTAATTTTATTTCCATTATTTCTTATGGGGAAAATGGCTTCGAGTTTAGTGAATTTCTACCTTCGGCGGGCTCTCTGGAACGGATTAATCACGAAACTCAGGGATCCACTGTATATATATATAATATATATATAAATATATATTATATATATAATATATATATATATAATATATATATAATATATATATATTATATATTTACCTATATATATATTAGCAGTTGGAGGGATATGTTGTTTATCTTTATACGTACAGTATATGCTTCTAAACTGTTGGGTTCTGAGCACCTCTGCAAAAGCAGTGATTATGTGTGAGTGAGGTGAAAGTGTTGAATGATGATGAAAGTATTTTCTTTTTGGGGATTTTCTTTCTTTTTGGGTCACCCTGCCTTGGTGGGAGACGGCCGACTTGTTAAAAAAAATATATATATATATACACACCCCTCTGAGTTTTCTTCTATTTTCTTACTGGTTCTTGTTCTTGCTTATTTCCTGTTATCTCCACGGGGAAATGGAACAGAATCCTTCCTCCGTAAGCCATGTGTGTTGTAAAAGGCGACTAAAATGCTGGGAGCAAGGGGCTAGTAACCCCTTCTCCTGTATAAATTACTAAATTTAAAAAAAGAAACTTTCGCTTTTCTTTTTGGGCCACCCTGCCTCGGTGGGATACGGCCAATTTGTTGAAAGAAAGAAAGGTGGGGATATAGTTTTGGGAGTGGTTGGTGCAATTATTTAATAAATGTATGGAAGAGGGTAAGGTACCTAGGGATTGGCAGAGAGCATGCATAGTTCCTTTGTATAAAGGCAAAGGGGATAAAAGAGAGTGCAAAAATTATAGGGGGATAAGTCTGTTGAGTGTACCTGGTAAAGTGTATGGTAGAGTTATAATTGAAAGAATTAAGAGTAAGACGGAGAATAGGATAGCAGATGAACAAGGAGGCTTTAGGAAAGGTAGGGGGTGTGTGGACCAGGTGTTTACAGTGAAACATATAAGTGAACAGTATTTAGATAAGGCAAAAAAGGTCTTTGTGGCATTTATGGATTTGGAAAAGGCGTATGACAGGTGGATAGGGGGCAATGTGGGAGATGTTGCAAGTATATGGTGTAGGAGGTAGGTTACTGAAAGCGTGAAGAGTTTTTTAAAGAGGGTATTTAGGCTCAATTAGAGTATGTAGGAAACAGGAAATTTTTTCCCAGTAAAAGTAGGCCTTAGACAAGATGTGTGATGTCACCCGTGGTTGTTTAAATATATTTATAGATGGGGTTGTAAGAGAAGTAAATGCGAGGGTCTTGGCAAGAGGCGTGGAGTTAAAAGATAAAGAATCACACACAAAGTGGGAGTTGTCACAGCTGCTCTTTGCTGATGACACTGTGCTCTTGGGAGATTCTGAAGAGAAGTTGCAGAGATTGGTGGATGAATCGGTAGGGTGTGCAAAAGAAGAAAATTAAAGGTGAATACAGGAAAGAGTAAGGTTATGAGGATAACAAAAAGATTAGGTGATGAAAGATTGAATATCAGATTGGAGGGAGAGAGTATGGAGGAGGTGAACGTATTCAGATATTTGGAGTGGACGGTCAGCGGATGGGTCTATGAAAGATGAGGTGAATCATAGAATTGATGAGGGAAAAAGAGTGAGTGGTGCACTTAGGAGTCTGTGGAGACAAAGAACTTTGTCCTTGGAGGCAAAGAGGGAATGTATAGAGTATAGTATTACCAACGCTCTTATATGGGTGTGAAGCATGGTGATGAATGTTGCAGCGAGGAGAAGGCTGGAGGCAGTGGAGATGTCATGTCTGAGGCAATGTGTGGTGTGAATATAATGCAGAGAATTCGTAGTTTGGAAGTTAGGAGGAGGTGCGGGATTACCAAAACTGTTGTCCAGAGGGCTGAGGAAGGTTGTTGAGGTGGTTCGGACATGTAAGAGAATGGAGCGAAACAGAATGACTTCAAGAGTGATCAGTCTGTAGTGGAAGGAAGGCGGGGTAGGGTCGGCCTAGGAAGGGTTGGAGGGAGGGGGTAAAGGAGGTTTTGTGTGCGAGGGGCTTGGACTTCCAGCAGGCATGCGTGAGCGTGTTTGATAGGAGTGAATGGAGACAAATGGTTTTTAATACTTGACGTGCTGTTGGAGTGTGAGCAAAGTAACATTTATTGAAGGGATTCAGGAAACCGGCAGGCCGGACTTGAGTCCTGAGATGGGAAGTACAGTGCCTGCACTCTGAAGGAGGGTGTTAATGTTGCAGTTTAAAAACTGTAGTGTAAAGCACCCTTCTGGCAAGACAGTGATGGAGTGAATGATGGTGAAAGTTTTTCTTTTTCGGGCCACCCTGCCTTGGTGGGAATCGGCCAGTGTGATAATAATAAAAAAAAAAAAAAGTATAATTATCAGAGTATATATAAAATATGAAATAACTTTTAAAAACACTTGAAATTTTGGAGTTTCCAGACATAATGGAGAGACTTAGTGCTTACGGATCTCACAGAGAATGTAAACAAACCGGGTGGGGCACAGTGACCACCGTATTAGAAAATCAGGTGGGGGAAACTGTATAGAGTTTTGGTCATAATTTGAAATGACTGTATTAGTGGAATGCCGTAAAGCAAAACACCGTAAAGCAAAATGCCATAAAGCAAAACGCCATGAAGCAAACGCCGTAAAGCGGGGCTCTACTGTATATTGAACAGTATATTGACTGGTTAGCTTGAGATATTTTTATTTTTCGCTTTATTCTCTAATTTGAAATGTTTTGAAAATTAAGTTTCTGAATGTGATTTATTATTTATTTCAGTTTGAAAGAAAAAGCTCTAGCCTGCCAGAAAGCTGAGCATGACTTTGCTGACATGCCTTGTGGGATCATGGACCAATTTATTTCAACCATGGGCAAAGAAGGAAATGCACTTCTTATTGACTGCAGGTAAGGTTATTAATTTTAAGTAGTGCTAATAATAAAATTTTGAAATAGTTAATGTAAATACAGTAGACCGTCATTTAGCACAAGTTTACTTGGCACGGTTTGGGTATAGTACGATTGAAGAATTGCGGCACAATTTTATGTAACGTCCTATGATGAATTTAACGTGGTTCAGTTTGCGGGAAGGAAAAAACTTCCCTTTTCCTCAAGCGTCCATTTTGTTGTGGTTCAACGGGGGAGACCTCCCGCCTTCCCCAGCCACCCCCCTAGACACCACCCCATGATCCCAGCATTCGTACTTCATATGTGTCCAGTCCAACTTCTTTGCTACAAGCTTGTGATTGTGAATTGTGTTTTGATCTTTTAATTGCTATATCTTGTATCTGCCAAGCAATCATGACACCCAGTAGGCATACCAGTGTTGCTCAAAGTGGCAAGAAAAGGTGTAAGCATTCAAGTCTTAGAATTAACGAAGGAAACAAGATATTAGACAAGACATAACCTGTGGCCATAATGAAGTGTTACTTTGTACACATAAAAAGAGGTAAACATAAGTTCATATGACTGACTGACTTACTGTATGACTGACTTACTGAATGACTTGACTGACTTACTAAATGAATTGAGACTTACTGAATGACTTGACTAACTTACTAAATGACTTGACTGACTTACTAACGACTTGACTTACTGAATGACTTGACTGACTTACTAAATGAATTGAGACTTACTGAATGACTTGACTAACTTACTAAATGACTTGACTGACTTACTAACGACTTGACTTACTGAATGACTTGACTGACTTACTGAATGACTAGACTGACTTACTGAATGACTTGGCTGACTTACTGAATGACTTGGCTGACTTACTAAATGAATTGGCTGACTTACTTAATGACTAGACAGACTTACTGAATGACTTGACTGACTTACTGAATGACTAGACTGACTTACTGAATGACTAGACAGACTTACTGAATGACTTGACTGACTTACTGAATGACTTGACTGACTTACCAAATGACTTGACTGACTGAATGACTTAAAGTTAGACACTGCAGTACAACCATCAACTTCAGTACCAGAACCTCTACCATCCACCTCAGCCCAGTAGGGCCACAGCATAACTCTCTGCTCTCTTCACAGTCATCCACAAACACCATCACCCACAATTTATGGTAAGAAATATTGTTATTTCTGTTACATTTGTAGTCTTGAGCAGTAAAAACAACATAATACATCACAACAATGAACTACAATTACATATTCACTTATTTTTGTAAGATGTGGTGGCCTAAAAAAAGTTGTTCTGCTTTTTTGGGGCTATCAGGAATGTAACCCTATTTTTCCCATAAGTTCTTCAGTTCATCTGACACGGTTTTACCTAACACAGCGTATTTAGGAACGTAACTACCATGTTAAATGACCGTCTACTGTAATTAGTCTTTTTTATCTCGTCTATCGCCTTGTGCGAGATATATTATAGAAGAAATGCAGCCTCCATTTGAGTTAAATACAGTGGTACCTTGACTTACGAATTTAATTTGTTCTGTGACTGAGCTCGTAACTCAATTTGCTTGTATATCAAATCAATTTTTCTCATCGAAATTAATTGAAATGCCGTTTATCTGTTCCAGCCCCCAAAAAACCACCCAAATTTTTTTGTTATGGTTTTTAAATAAGAACCACCCTCACTACTCCACCCACCACCATATCTACTCCACCCACCATTATCACTACTCCATCCACCCCTCTCACTTACTCCATCCACCACCATCTCTCTCCACCCACCACTTTACTACTCCACCCACCACTTCACTACTCCACCCATCACCATCTCACTACAACCCCCACCTCACTCTCCACCCACCACCATATCTACTCCACCCACCTTATCACTATCCTCCACCACCCTCACTACTCCACCACCACCATCTCTCTCCCCCCACCACTTTCCTACTCACCCATTACCATCCACTACACCCCCACCCTCACTACTCCCCACTGTATCACACTCCATCCACCACCCTCACTACTCCATCCACCACCCTCACTACACCCACCACCATCTCTATTCCAACCCCCCCTTCACTACACCCCACCACCTTCTCAATTACACCCACCATGCTCACTACTCCACCCACCACCATATCTACTCCACCCACCATTATCACTACTCCATCACCCACCCCCACTACCCCCCATCCACCACCATCCCCTACTGCATCCACCACCTTCACTACTCCACCCATCACCATCTTTACTACACCCACCACCCTCACTAGTCCACCCACCACTATCAGTATTCCATCCACTGAAGGAACCTCCACGAGGCAGGTTCCATAATGGCCTCACGAAGGCCTTAACCCCTTGACTGTCGCAACCCCAAATCCTGAGGTGTCTCCTGGTGTTGAAAAATTTTTGAAAAAAAAAAAAACTTATGAAATAATAGAGAATCTTTTCCCGATGGTAATGGCACCAAAAGAATGAAATTTGATAGAAAACTTATGGAATTATGCTCTCGCGAAGTTAGCAACCTTGGGGATATTTACGAATCGGCGATTTTGCCCACTTGAGCCATATTTTCGGCTAATTCCATTGTTCTGGTTGACCAAACTCATAGCTATTTCTTTAGAACTCCATTTGTTCTATCGATTGAGTACAAGAAACTGCCCATTTTACCAATTTCAACTACCCAATAACATGGTCAGGAATTTGCAATTTGGCCAGTTTCACACAAATTTAAAAATATGCCAATATCAAAATGGGGTCCAGAATGAACAATGCAGACATTCTCGGCTCTAAAATAACATTTTCTTTGTTCATCAGTCACATTTCCAGGCCCCTCTGATATTACTCTTGCTTTCTATTTTGAATTTTTATTCAAAAAATAGAAGATTTACTGTTATGCAGACTACTGCAATATTGCAATAATTGTATAACTTATGTCAACCCATTCATCACTGGATATTAGAATGGCTACTTGGACATTTATTTGGCAATGACATCATTCATTTACTTTTGAATATTGGCAAAAATCAAACATTTCCCCTACTTTCAGCTCCAATTCAAGGTTCTTTTAATAGTAAAACCAATCAAAATCACCTCTATTTCTATATGTTTTCCATTCTATCAAATAAGACCAAGAAAATGAGAATACATTCTGTAAATACTATACGGAAATACACCGCAAAGTCGGTGTTTTAATCCAAAAACACGGTCAGCGTTTTTTTTTTTCTCATTATGCACTGCGTGCTGCAGGATTTTTTTATATGGTGCACACTGACCACACAGACCCATTCTCTCACATGTGGGCCTACCAGCTTTCTCCTGCTTGATTTGAAGCCGCTAGAATTTTTGAGTTATATGTATATAAGTCAAACACAGTGGCTCGTAAGACATATATATACGACCAAAACAGTCAAAGGGTTACTGTTTCTTGAGAAACTCTGAGTGTTGAAATGGGGGGTTACTTCTTACCCAGATTTATATGAGGACCAAACAAGGGACAAGGTGCCTCACTACAACCTGGGATTAGTGTGGGACTATTATCCTTCCAGTTATGTCTTGGAAGAACATGTGGGATGGGACAAAGTACCTGACATTCCTCTGGATACAGAGTTGGATTTGACTTCAGATATGCCAGCACTAATTGGCTGCACTATCTGAAGCTCACTCGTAACATGGATTTTTGGCTTGCAACTCAAAGCAAAAAATCGGCCGAGCGATGGCTCATAACTTGGAAAACTCATAAGTTGGGGCACTCGTATGTCAAGGTACCACTGTATTTGTGATGTTTGTGTATGGACTTTCAGTTCTTATTTGCCTTCTAATATATTCTATCAAATGATGGATAGTAACTGTGTATCCATTGTTTCTGGGATCACTTCCTCCTTGGAAGAATAGTAGGACTAAGAGGGTGTATAAATCTGAAGTGTAAGGAAGGAGGGGTAGAGGTTGTCCCGGGAAAGGTTGGAGGGAAGAGGGTAAAGAAAGTTTTATGTGCTAGGGACTTAAACATCCTTCAGGCTTGCATGTGTGTGTGTTAAGAGAATACTGAGTGGAGGCATGAGATTGCTGTGACTTGACAAGCTGTTGGAGTGTGAGCAAATTCAAATCTGGTTAACCAGTTAGCCAGATTTGAGTTTTGGAAGCAGGAAGTATAATGCCTGCACTCAGAAGGAGGGGTGGGGATCTTTTGGTGTGGAGGGTCATCCAAACTGTGATTCCTACATGCTTCTGGCAAGACAGTGATTGACTGAACAATGGTACCTGTACTTCATTGGGAGCTAATCAGTGTTGGAGGCAGTGGAGATGTCCTGTCTAAGGGCAATGTGTGGTGTAAATATTATGCAGAAAATTCGGAGTGTGGAAATTAGGAGAAGGTGTGGAGTTAATAAAAGCATTAGTCAGAGGGCAGAAGAGGGGTTGTTGAGGTGGTTTGGTCATTTAGAGAGAATGGATCAAAGTAGAATGACATGGAAAGCATATAAATCTATAGGGGAAGGAAAGAGGGGTAGGGGTCGTCCTCAAAAGGGTTGGAAAGGGGGTAAAGGAGGTTTTTGTGGGTGAGGGCTTGGACTTCCAGCAAGCGTGCATGAGCAGTGTTAGATAGGAGTGAATGGAGACACAATGATAACTTGGGACCTGACGATCTGATGTGAGTGTGAGCAGGGTAATATTTAGTGAAGGGATTCAGGGAAAAACCGGTTATTTTCATAATCGGACTTGAGTCCGGAAATGGGAAGTACAATGCCGTACTTTAAAGGAGGGGTTTGGGATATTGGCAGTTTTGGAGGGATTATGTTTGTTTCTCTATATGTATATGCTTCTAAACTGTTATATTCTGAGCACCTCTGCAAAAGCAGTGATAATGTGATGATGTGGTGAAAGTGTTGAATGTGATGAAAGTATCTTTCTTTTTGGGGATTTTCTTTTGTTTTTTGGGTCACCCTGCCTCGGTGGGAGACGACCGAGCTTGTTGAAAAAGGAGGGGGTATGGAGATATTGGCAGTTTGGAGGGATATGTTGTGTATCTCTATACGTATATGCTTCTAAACTGTTATAATGTTGAGCTACCCTGATAAAGCAGTGAACATGTTGAGTGTGGTGAAAGTGTTGAATGAGATGAAAGTAATTTTCTTTTTGGGGATTTCTTTCTTTTCTTGGGATCCTACCTGCTCGGTGGGAGACGACCGACTTGTTGAAAAAAAAAATAAATAAATAAATAAAAATGAAGGAGATTGTGTATATATGTATATATTATCTGCTACAATAACAGCTGTATTCTTCAAGTACAGTATCACTGGTTTTCTGTTTATTCTCATTACTTAAACTTATGAAATTTTAACAGTTTAAGGAACATTTTGCTATTTCATGTTATAATAAAACAAAGTAATTTTCTTTCCAGAATTTATATAAGGGGCAAATTCCATGCAGTAAGATTAGCATTTGACTGATTTGTATTGTGTATATTATGTATTACAATGTGTGTTCATCTGAACTCACAAAGACAAAGATAAGATAAAGATAAAAATTTTATTTCTTTGTAAAGGTTAAATTTGTAATTATAATTTTGGTTTGCTAAGTACAACTGTATTGACTTTGGAAAAAGGAAAACCAGCAAAATGTGTTCCTAGACTACAAGTGACTTTGGTAAATGTTCTGTTGTTTACCTACATACATGACTTCCGGACAGTTTGGAATGCTATGTAACTTAATTCATTCTTCCCGTCCATGACAGATCACTGGAATCCACTTTAGTGCCACTGAATGATCCCTCCATTATATTTGTCATCACCAACTCAAATGTGCGTCATACACTCTCTGGAACAGAATACCCTACTCGCCGTAAACAGTGCCAAGAAGCTGCAGAAGTGATGAGAAAAAAGAGTCTACGTGATGCAACACTAAATGATCTAGAAAGTAAGAAGACATTGCTTATTTAATAATGAGTGTTATTAAACTATTGTTGTTGAAATTTGTTTTTCCACCTCATCATTTACAGTTTTGTATTTAGTACAAAATATAATGTGTAGCAAAACTTGATGAATAACCAAGACATACTTGAAGAAATCATACATTTTTGTACTTTACTAGTCAACCCTCCTTCCTAAAAAAAAAAATGTGTGGTATACCTGTGCTGTATTCTTTGCCATAAAAAACTTCCCTTTATGATTGACCTGCCCTTATTTTGAGGGTGGATTCTTGTGGTAAATTTTTTTGTGTTTAAACAATATCATATATGTATTCTACTGCTGCCACATATCTATGGTGGAAAATCTTTTTTTTTTTAACACATCGGTCGTTTTCCACCAAGGCAGGATTGCCTGAAAAAGAAAAACTTTTATCATCATTCACTCCATCACTGTCTTGCCAGAGGTGCACTCACACTTCAGTTATAAAACTGCAACAATAACATCCCTCCTTCAGAATGTAGGCACTGCACTTTCCATCTCCAGGACTCAAGTCCAGCCCACCATTTTCCCTGAATCCCTTCATAAATGTTACCTTGCTCACACTCCAACAGGACACCAAGTCCTAAAAATCATTTGTCTCCATTTGCTTCTATCTAACATGCTCAATCATGCTTGCTGGAAGTCCAGGCCCCTTGCACACAAAACCTCCTTGACCCCCCTCCCTCCAACCTTTCCTAAGCCGACCCCTACCACACCTTTCCTCCACTACAGATTTATACACTCAAAGTCATTCTGTTTCTTTCCATCCTCTCTACATGTCTGAATCACCTCAACAAACCCTCCTCCTCCCTCTGGATAATAGTCTTGGTAATCCCGCACCTCCTCCTAATTTCCAAACTAATTACAGTGGAACCTTGACTTACAAGTGTCCCAACGTACGAGTTTTTTGAGATACGAGCCATACCTGGGTCGGTTTTTTGCTCTGAGTTACGAGCCAACATTTGAGTTACGAGCCAGCTCCCCCCCCCATCCCCGTGCTTCCCCCTCAGCCCAAAACCTGGCCACCTCGCTTGTTTATCTATGATTTCATGCTTTAATTCCAAGGAAATCATTCTCTTTTTCTTCTCAGCACTGTCCTTTACACTTACTTTCTTTGGACCAATGCTTAGAAAAACAAAATTTGGCCAAATGACTGTCAAAAATGTAAACAAAACTTGAGAAAACTGCTCCCACAACGGGGTAAACAGTGAACTGAGTTGGCGGCTTTTGTTGTTATAATAATAATACTACTAATAGTAATAATAATAATTATTATTATTAGTGTTATTATTATTAATTTAGGTAACTAGAGCACAGATCAAATTCCCTAGATCAAGAGCTCCTCACCAGCGTCAAGGTTCCTTGACACTGGTGAGGGGCTCTTGATCTAGGGAATTGGATCTGTGGTCCAGTTGCCTAAATTAATAATAATAATAGTCAAATAATAATAATTATTATTAACTTTATTATTATTATTATTATTATTAACTTTATTATTATATTATTATTATTATTATTATTATTATTATTATTATTATTATTATTATAAAAATAGAGCTTCAGTTCCCTATATTAATAATAATATAAAAATAATATAATAATAATAACAGTTATTATTATTATTATTTTTATTATTTATTATAATAACAATAGAGCTTCAGTTCCCTAAATTAATAATAATAATATAATAATATTATTATTAATTATTATTATTATTATTATTATGATAGAGCTTCAGTTCCCTAAATAAAAATTAATTCTAATAATAATTATTATAATAATGATAGATCTTCAGTTCCCTGAATTAATAATAATAATAATACATAATACGTATGTAATAATATGTAATTCAAAATCCTGCCGCTAGATGGCACTGCTGATGCCAAAACATCATACACGTTTACGTCACTATGGGAGCAGTTCTCTCGTACAGTCATTTGGCCAAATTTCTTTTTTCTAACCATGGGTCCTAAGAAAATAAGTGCAAAGAACAGTGCTGAGAAGAAAAAGATGATGATTTTCATGGACTTAACCAGGCAATACACGTCATATGCTGCACCCTCGACATCCCTCACCCTCAACTTCCCTCACCCTCGACATCCCCCACCTTTGACATTCCCCACCCTCAATATCCCCCACCCTCGACATCCCCAACCTCGACATCCCCACCCTCGACATCCTCCACCCTTGACATCCTCCACCCTCGACATCCCCCACCATCGACACCCCTCAACCTCGACATCCCCCACGCTCGACATCCCCACCATCGACACCCCTCAACCTCGACATCCCCCACGCTCGACATCCTCCACCCTCGACATCCCCCACCCTTGACATCCCCCACCCTTGACATCCCCCACCCTCTACATCCCTCAACCTCGACATCCCCCACCCTCGACACCCTCCACCCTCGACATCTCCCAACCTCGACATCCCCCAACCTCGACATCGTCCACCCTCGACATTCCCCACCCTCACATCCCCAACCTCGACGTCCCCACCCTCGACATCCTCCACCCTTGACATCCCCCACTCTCGACATCCCCCACCCTCGACATCCCCCACCCTCAACATCCCCCACCCTCAACATCCCACACCCTCAATATCTCTAACCTCAGCATCCCCCACCCTCAGCATCCCCCACCCTTGACATCCCCACCCTCAACATCCCCTACCCTCAACATCCCCCACCCTTAACATCCCCCACCCTCAACATCCCCATCCTCAACCGCCCCCACCATCTCTGCTCCAAGTGTGTAAGTACATATACACTTTACATAAACAGTTTCAGTATTTTCCTTAGAAAACTAGTGATCTACTGCAGTTAGCCTCAAAAATACTCTGTTTTCTCTTACAGTAAGAACATGGGAAGATACTACATGTACATGTATAGTCAAATTGGGACAGAAATGGCAGACGCTTTTGCCGCTGCCACCATATTATGGCCTATTTTATTTATTCTAGAGTATATATCATGTTTCTGTGTTAATTATATTGTTTATTATGACATATTAAATGAATTGTGTTAGATGAATAAGCCGTATAGTTGATAATAGCGTCATATTCATGTATTTTTTCTTCTCTCCAGAGTCCAGGAACGAATTAATGGCTTTTCGGTTAATTTAAATTAGGAAAATTAATTTGATATACAAGTAAATTGAGTTATGAGCTAGCTCCTGGAACGGATGAAACTCGTAAGTCAAGGTTCCACTGTATTCTTTGCATTACAGTGGAACCCCGGATTACGACATTAATCCGTTCCAGAAAGCGTGTCTTATAATGAATCTGTTGTAATCCGAATGAATTTTCCTCATGAGAAATAATGGAAATCCAATTAATCCATTCCTGACACCCAAAAGTATTAAACAAAATCATTTTTTTACATGAAATATACATTTCCCTACACGGAAAACAATGAGACATGCAGAATAAATAAGTAATAAAATGACACTTACCTTTTTTGAAGACATGTTGATGAGTGATGAGAGGGGAGGAGGGAAGAGGATGGAGGAGTTTACAGTTGTTTGGAAGGGGAATCCACTTCCATAAAGACTTCAGGTACCAAGTTCCTTTTCTGGGGTTACCTCACTTCTTTGTTTTTTAATGCCACTAGGACCAGCTTGAGAGTCTCTGGACCCCTGTCTCACCAAAAATCTGTCCAGAGAGCTCTGTTTCTGGCATCTCTTTAAGATTTCCCTAAAATGGGACACAACATTGTCATTGTAAATGTTGCCAGCACAGCCTGCAACAGCTGTGTCAGGGTGATGTTCATCCATAAATGTTTGCACTTCAATCCACTTTGCACAAATGTCCTTAATCTTTGGAGAAGGCAACTTCCTCCATCTCTCTTCCTCCTCCTCTGATGGAAATTCCTTGAGCTGTGGTCTGTTGGTGTTGCACCTCAAGCTATTGCAGCTCTGTAGTTGTTAGCTCTTCATCGTCATCCTCCACCAACTCTTCCATATCCTCGCCACTAACCTCCAGCCCCATGAACTTCCCCAATGCCACACTAGACTCCACAACTGGCATAGACTCCTCAGGGTCAGCCCCAAACCTTTCAAAATCCCTCTCTTGTACACATTCTAGCCACAATTTTCTCCAAGCAGAGTTGAAAGTCCTGGAAGTCACTCCCTCCCAAGCCTTACCTATAAAGTTTATACAACTGAGGATACTGAAGTGATCTTTCCAGAACTCTCTTAGGGTCAGTTCAGTGTCTGAGGTCACTTCAAAGCACTTTTGAAACACTGGTGTACAGTTTTTTGAAATTTGAAATGACCTGCTGGTCCATGGGCTGGAGGAGATTAGTGGTGTTAGGAGGCAAAAACTTCACTTTGATGAAACTAAACTCCAGCACCATTCGCTTTTCCAAGTCTGGAGGAGGTATATTTTCACACTGGGGCCAAACACGTCATGGAACCAATCTAGGAAAATGTCCCTAGTGACCCATGCCTTACTGTTTGCTCTCCACATCACACACAGTTTAGTCTTGATGACACTGTTGTTCTTGAACACTCTGGGATTTTTAGAGTGATACACAAGTAGAGGCTTCACGTTGAAATCCCCACTAGGATTACTACAGAACATGAGAGTTAGCCTGTCTTTCATAGGTTTGTGTCCTGGGAGTGCCTTTTCGTCCTGAGTAATGTAGGTCCTGTTTGGCATTTTCTTCCAAAACAGGCCTGTTTTGTCATAATTGAACACTTATTGGGGTTTTAATTGTTTGGTCTCTGTGTACCCCTTAAATACCTGCACATATGTTTCAGCTGCTTTTTTGTCATGACTGGTGGCCTCACCATGCCTTATCACACTGTGTATGCCACTACGATTCTTAAATCTCTCAAACCAGCTTTTGCTGGCCTTAAATTCATCAGTACATGTGTCAGCAGTAGTTCCAGGCATTTTCTTAATGAGATCCGCATGCGACTGCCTTGCCTTTTCATATATAATTGACTGTGAAACACTATCTCA